CTATTCTAGTTTACCTGATAGGATGAAGAGTGATACGCTATAACCGTTATTTTCATTTGATCCTCCTGTTAGTTTTCTTCATATGTCTCTTCTCGTGAGGGCTTTATCTTTTTCTCTGACTGCCATTAGAATATTGCCGTTCCGCCAATTTTTAACTGCATGAGGCATATATAGCATTGTTCAGAAAGTAATTAAAGCTGTAAAGACCACCTTTTTGGAGTATTTTCATAAACAATATAATGTTATCCAGGTGTAAGAAGTACCCATCAATGGAGTTGAGGGGTCTTTTCCAGTATCTCGTGAACCAGTTAAAGAGGGGCCAAGGGATTGAGCTTGTTCTTCTCCAGGTTGGTTTGTATTCCTCAATTCGTATAATCCAATTTATTCAGGCTATTGGTGGGTGACTGTAATTACAATGATGTGTAGGAACTGATCCAGCAGATGGCAAACGTGCAATACACTGAGAACCTTACTGAAGATCAGTTGGATGCCATGGCAGGAAGTGAGACTTTACGTTATCACGCAACATCCTTTGGCATGACACGGAACAACAAGGTTCGTGTTTTTAGATCCTCAGAATTTTAAAATAACTTCTTATTAAATCTTCAGAGGAGCCAAGGTTTGGTCTTTACCATAAGTGCCTGTATTTTCTTACTGTTAGAGAAAATTGATGAAGTTGTCTGCTTGAAAATCAGGTTTTTTATTCTCAGTAATCTAAATGAAACATTATTGATTTGGTTATATTCAAGTTTGATCCCCTACATCTCCGTTTTAGCTCATCGTTTATACAGCTGCATATATTCTGACACTGGTGTGCGCTTTGTTTATGCATACACGTTTTACAAAGATGTGATGGGTTGTGGCAAAATTATTCATTTGAAGTCATTCATTTAGAATGTCTGGTCTTGTACGAAAATGCATTTTAAAACCTCCTCTTCTGTACGTCTGTAGATGCTAGGCTCTGAAGATAAAAGCATATAAGCTTGATTTATTTATTTACCTCAATCACTGAGGTATCTTAGTTTTTAAACAATTCTGATTTCTCTTCCTGGTTTTTGTAGGCACTTACCAAATCATCCAACCGTCTACGAGATTCGTTGCTTCCAAATGATGATCCAAAGATAGCTATCCCTCTTTTGTTACTTATCGCCCAGCACCGTTCTCTGTAAGTTGACAAATCTGATCGCTTGAAATTTTTTGACAAGGAGCATAAAAGTCTTTACTGGAGCACGATACACTACATCTTGTACCTGGAAAATATGCGTATCAAATCGGTGTTTAAAACTAATTATCTACATTGTAGATTTTATATTTGGTGTGACCACGGACAATGTTCCTATCTCTGAATAGAGTATTTGGATGCACACTTTTTCATTTGGTCTAGATTAATGTGATAATAATGTAAACTACCTGATATGCAGAGTTGTGGTAAATGCGGATGCACCATATATTAAGATGGTAACTGAACAGTTCGACAGATGTCATGGAATTCTCCTCCAATACGTGGACTTCCTTTCTAGTGCTGTTAGTCCTGCTGCTGCTTACGCTCTGCTGGTACCTTCGCTTGATGAGCTTGTGCACACATACCATCTTGAGCCAGAGGTCTCTCGATCTTTCTTTCCTTTGTTCCTTTCTTTACCCTTCTGTTACTGCACTCTTCAACAATATGGATTTCATCACTTTTCACATGTCTTTCTGGCCTACATCATAGCTATTATTGCGTTCTTTTTTTATTACTTCGCTGCATTTTGAAGCACATGCTTATGTTCTGAATCCCCTGCCAGGTCGCTTTTTTGGTATTTCGCCCTGTGATGAGGCTCTTCAAGTGTCGACGGAATGGTGATGTTTCATGGCCTTTGGATTGTGGAGAATCTATGGATGCAGATTCTGATTTATCAGAATCTGAGAGTTCCATGATTCTCGATCGCGGCGCATCTAAAAAAGCTATAACGTAATATTTGTCTGTTAAGCATATTTAATTACTTCAGCAATACTATAGACGTGATGTTTATTTGAAGTTTCAGATACTCTCCTTCTGAAGATTTGTAGTGATTAGTTAGTTATTTAATTGCATTACACCTAGATGCCGACTTACTGGACTTTGTCTCGTTTATATTATGTTTGCAGGTGGTCCGATGTTCTTGATACAGTAAGAACAATGCTGCCCTCGAAAGCTTGGAATAGTCTGTCGCCAGACCTCTATGCTACTTTTTGGGGGCTTACCCTGTATGATCTCCACGTTCCCAGAAATCGTTATGAGTCTGAGATATCTAAACAGCATGCTGCCCTTAAAACACTTGAAGAGGTTGCTGATAATTCTAGCTCAGCAATAACGAAGAGAAAAAAAGAGAAGGAAAGGATTCAAGAATCTCTTGATCGTCTTACCAGTGAACTAAAAAAGCATGAAGAACATGTTGCTTCTGTCCGTCGAAGGCTGTCACGTGAAAAGGATAAATGGTTGAGCTCCTGTCCTGATACTTTGAAGATCAATATGGAGTTCCTGCAGCGTTGTATTTTCCCTCGTTGCACATTTAGCATGGCAGATTCTGTGTACTGTGCTATGTTTGTACATATGCTCCACTCTCTCGGAACACCATTTTTTAACACAGTCAACCATATCGATGTACTGATATGTAAAACGCTACAACCAATGATATGCTGCTGCACTGAATCCGAAGTTGGAAGACTTGGGAGGTTTTTGTTTGAGACCTTAAAGATTGCATACCACTGGAAGGTAACTCTTAAAATTATATATTACTCTTGAAAGTATAGGACTGGGTTTTTTTTTCTAACCTAGTTTCTAATGCTGATGTTGTCTCTTATATTTTCTCAGAGTGCAGAGTCAGTCTATGAACATGAGTGCGGAAACATGCCAGGGTTTGCTGTTTATTACAGATACCCGAACAGCCAGCGTGTCACATTTGGACAATTTGTGAAGGTTAGAAATTCTGGTCCTTGACTCTATGATAATCGTACTTTTTGAGGTGTAAACTCTTAACTGTCTCAAGTTTGAGGTGGTATAAACTATATCTATTCAAGTATTCTTGTTCGTTACTATTTAGTGATCTTTATTATGATAAGCTTAGTTTAGAGGTGTATTTTAATACATTCTGGAAGGGCTAGCGTGAAGATCTTTCAACACCTAAGAGGCTATCGTGTAGAAAGTTTGACAAGATAAAACAGACAAAAAAGGAAAATTTCAGTTTTTGATGGCTGGTTAAGTTAGGGTGAAACGAAGGGGTTGTGTATCTGGAATGATTTGTATGTTATATGATGAGTGTCTGAAACCAAACCTGCAAGAGTTTGTTTACATTCTCTTCTGTAGTCGAGTTCCGAGTTACTAAGTGCATTTTCTCTATATTGGGATTTAGAATAAAATCTCTTGAATTCTCACGACACTGAAGGCTTTCCAGTTTATTACTATCTTTTTTTTTTTTTTTTGGAGTCGGGTTCAGAAATATATTTTTCTTTGTGGACTATAACTATTATTTGTATATTTTCATACTCTCCAATAAATCTTATCATGTAAAGCTCGAGTAAATCGTACTGTTTGAATTTGTTTTTAATGTGAGCTGGACCTTCCTACCTTACATATATTTGATTTATCGAACTCATGGCATGAGCCACATGACGCCTAGAAAAGTAATTAAACACCATTTTATCTTATGGAACTGCATTGCTTCTGCTCAGTGATTTTGATATATTTCATTTCATCTTTGGATGTATTTTCCTATGTATTTTTACTATTTAGCTGTAACGTATTCTTCTTTAATTACTGGTAGCAAAGTCTTCTTTCTTCTGTGTTTCATGTCTGTTTCATTTGTTGATCTCCCTGAAAGGTACATTGGAAATGGAGTGGAAGAATCACACGGCTTTTGATCCAGTGTCTGGAGTCAAATGAGTACATGGAGATTCGTAATGCCCTAATTATGTTAACAAGAATATCTGGCGTTTTCCCAGTTACTCGGAAGACTGGATATAACCTCGAGAAACGGGCAAGTACCTCCTTACTAGCCAGTCTTATGAATATGCTTTAAGTTGGTATGATCTCTATCATTGCATGTGTTTTTCTTTGTGAGAAGATTAATCTTTCCTTCTTTGTTGGTCTGGTCTTACAGGTAGCCAAGATTAAAAATGATGAGCGAGAGGACCTTAAGGTCTTGGCAACTGGTGTTGCCGCTGCTCTGGCTGCAAGAAAAGTGAGTGTTACCCATCGCAATTTCATGTTCAATGTTTTATGCAGTTTTCACTGAATGTCGATTTTTGCAGCCATCATGGGTTACAGACGAAGAATTTAGCATGGGCTTCCTTGAACTAAAGGCTCCACCAGTAAATACTCCAAAACTTGCTCCTTCCCAGAATGGCTTGGTAGGTGGTGTCTCCCAAGGTGAACTAACGGGGGGAAGATCTACTATTAATCAGCAGCCTGAATCTGGCGGCAAGGACCAGTTGTCAAAAAGTAAACCACCAGATGGAAGAACGGAAAATATACCTTCAAAAACTGATCAGGGACATCCAAAATCAAAGGGAGGCAATCCATCAGATGCCCAACCATCCATGTCTAAGAAGTCAATGGAGCAAAAGGAAACAGATGAATCACCCAGAATATCTGATGAGAATCATGTCAAAGCTGCTTTGAAGTATTCTGAGGCCGAGGTATTACCGTGTTCTTTGATATTTTATTTGTTCAGTTGGCTAACCCTGCTTTGCTTATGCACCCCAAATTTGTCACTAGCAGTCCACAGAAATTATATAGGAAATTTATCCTGCCCATTCGATCTTATTAGTTAGGCAGAGCCCATTCTACTCTCTTGACAGCTCCTTTTGATTAGATTTGGGTTTATCGTGTAGACATATGGACTGTATTTAAGCTATCCCTTCACGTGGGCCCTGGGGCTGGAGTAAGAGCGCTAAGGTCAACTGATTTGATCTCAAGATAGCTACTATCTACACTCTTCGCCTTCACCCCTACCTAACCCCACCTTTTTTATGTTGGAAGTTGGTCACTAAAATATTTCAGATAATCAACATTTTAGGAAGATTTTGGGCTTCAACTTTGTATCATGTATAATTAGTTTTGGATGGCAGGTAAAACCTTCCTCTAAACGGGGTGCTTCGACTTCATCAATGAACAAATCAACAAAACAAGATTCTGGAAAAGATGATGGAAAATCCGGTAAAGCTATTGGTAGAACATCCACAGCTGACAAAGATCTTATTTATCTGGAGAGCAGGCAAGCAGGTTCGACCAAAGCTTCTTCCAGCACAGCAGCCAATGGTAGCTTACCTGCTGGTTCGTCCAAAGGTTTGATCTTTCCCACAAAATCATTAGATGTTCATGGAAGCTAATGAAAGCTGGATGTACTTGTCAGGTATTCTAACTTTAATCTCTCTGATGCAGTGAAAGATGATGGTGCTGAAGCTTTAGATACACAAAAGCAATCTTCTCGGACTGTTCATTCCCCTAGGCATGAAATTAACACTTCTGTGAGATCGAGTGATAGGTTACAAAAGCGAGCTAATGCTGTTGAAGATAGTGACAGAATAAGTAAACGCCGTAAAGGAGATGCTGAGCACAAAGAGCATGACAGTGAGGCTCGACCGAGTGATCGAGACAGATCAGCAGAGGCCCGGGTGGATTTAAACAAAACATCCACTGATGACCAAAGCACCCATAGGGATAAAGGTAATGAAAGACAGGACCGAGACCACAGGGATAGAGTGGAGCGTTCTGATAAACCTCGCGGAGATGATGTGGAGAAAGTACGAGACAAATCCTTGGAACGCCATGGTAGAGAGCGCTCAGTTGAGAAGAGTCTAGATAAAGGAACGACTAGGAGTTACGATAGAAACAAGGATGAAAGAAACAAAGATGATAGAAACAAACCGCGTCATGGTGAGGCGTCACTTGAGAAATCTCATTCTGATGATCATTTTCATTCCCAAGGTTTACCCCCACCTCCACCTTTACCTCCTAACATCGTTCCACAATCTATGGCCTCGAAAGAAGAACCCGAAAGAAGGGGTGGGAGTACAAGGCATTCTCAGAGGCTTTCCCCGAGGCATGAAGAAAGAGAGAGACGACGCTCTGAGGAGAATTCATTAGTTTCTGTAGATGATGCAAAACGCAGAAGAGATGACGATTTTCGTGACCGAAAGCGAGATGACCGAGAATCAATCACTGTGAAGGTAACATGGCTCCCTCTTTACCGCTGTTAGCATTATCCCCTGTAGTGCATCATCATGGTTTCTTATGCGTTTTCTTATATACTATTGTCTTATGGTAAATCATTAATGATTTCTTGAAGTGCATTATTGTTCGATACATATTTTATCAGTTCTCAACTTTTTATTATAAAAAAAAGAAGAGGAGAAACACCATGGATTATTTTGTTTCCGCAATGGTCTCCTTGTATGAGCATAGGAATAAACATCTTATGCCAACTCTATGCAGGGAGAAGAAAGAGAAAGGGAAAGGGAAAGGGAAAGAGAGAGGGAAAGAGAAAAAAGTATCCCTTTGAAAGATGATTTTGAAGCTTCCAAGAGAAGGAAGGTTAAGAGGGATCAACAGGTCGCATCTGCAGAGCCAGGGGAGTACTCTCCAATGCCACATCAGTCATCTTTATCAATCGGGATGGGACCATCATCGTACGAAGGCAGAGAGCGGAAGAGCAGTAGCATGGTTCAACATGGAGGTTATCTTGAAGAGCCAAGCATGAGACTTCTTGGTAAAGAAGCTTCCAGCAAGATGGCTCGTCGTGATCCTGACCCGTATCCTTAAAAAAAGAGCCTCGTTTACCAACTTTATAATCTCTCTGCTTGAGTTTGCATCATGAAATGATCCCTTATATGATGCATCATTGATGGTATCTTCAGAGTTGCAAAATCCAAATCCAAGAATAGCTATTTCCTTGACCTTGGTATAGTATGTATGACCGTGAGTGGGAAGACGACAAGAGGCAGAGAGCAGAACGGAAGCGGAGAGATCGAAAGTAGACTGATGATGATTCGCGGCATTCGGTTAAGGGCTTCGGTTCGGTTTCACGGTTTGGGTGTTTTGGCTCGATTCAGTTTTAAAATATTAAGTCCCATTCAAGATTAAATTCAATTTCGGTTCGATTCGGTTTGGTTTTTGTTTTCGGGTTTTACAAATGATAACTGACTTAGAATATTTTCTGTAACTTCAAAATATTTTGGATAATACGGTTAATTTTCAATACAATAAAGTGTTTGATAGATAACCAACCAGAAAGAACAAAGAAAGAAAAAAAAATTATTGTATAAATTTTTACAGTGGCATCATGAGTTCGTTGTCGATTCAAAATCATTATTACGAGTTTATTGGTTATAAAGGTTGAAATACATTTTGCCTTCATATTGCGCAACCACAACATTCAAAATCATAATTATGATCTCTGCTTACATCGCTCTGTTAATCAATTTTAATAACATCAAACCTGTAGGCATACGATCGTAAGTTTACTGAATTATTGCTTACTTTTCTTAAAATGCGTCAATACGTTCTTTCAGTCCTCAAGTTGTTACATCGGCTAATTTAGCCGGTAATAAATTAGCTCTACAATTTCCATTTCTAAAGTAGAAATTTTTTACATTAACACCGGTCTTAATGTTAATTTCATACAAATCAGTGGTTTCATCGTGTTCAAATTCTTATGCCTATAGAGAACCAGATTCAAAAAATTATTAACAGCTCAAAACAAGGTCACAAATCCGATAGGCGTTGCAAAACTTATTTTAGAAACAAAGAATAAATAATAACGAAAACAAAAAAAGGACTTTCTAGAAATAACTCTTCAGTTCAGGTCTCCATATTTTTTTCAGCACATCGAAATCTCAGGAGAACGAAAGTTTTAAGTTTTAGCATCATCAGAGCAAAAACAGAAAATACCAACAGAAAAAGCTTAATTTTTCATAAAACTACGAGTAAATTTTAAGCAACCAACTAAAAAAATCAAAAAGAAGGAAAGAAATTGCCATCACTCAGTTCAGGTCTCCATAAATTTTCCGCATAATGAATCTCGGAAGAACGAAAGTTATGTTTTGATCATCATCGCGAGGCAATTATTACACAAAAGATAAGATCCATAGCCTCTTACCGAAGTAGAGATGGATATGAAATAGATTTTATCAAAACGAAACAACGATAATAGAATCACTACGATTGAAAATTCAATAAAGAAATTCGAAAGATTGATTGAAAAAGGCTACGAAGGTGATTGGTGTAGGATACATATTCATCACAACGCAATTTATATATATGCTATTGGAAGAGGGAGGTACAGTTGCGAGTAAACCCTAGCTCTGCCTTTGGGTTATATGGGCTTAGAATGAGCCACTGTTAATGTCCACACCAGCCCATAATTTTCTTCGTAGAATTAACTTCTTTTTGTTTTGAAAGAAAATAATTAGAACCACTCACATAGTCACATTGTATGTTTTTGTTTTTGTTTTTGTTTTTGTTTTTGTTTTTTTTTTTTTTGTAACAATCACATTGTATGTTTCTTATTAAAGATTTGGTTTCCTATTTTTATTTACATTTTTAACATATATTTTTCTACTTCTTTTATTTAAGTATTTGAATTTTGATAACAAAATATTTTGGAATGATTAAAATACTTCCATCATACCAAAATATAGGTTGACTATTCATCAGCTTACATTTTGATTGATTCATTATTTCATGTTTGATCGTTGAAATTTGGGTTCAGCTATAAGTACGAAAAAATGAACAACGTTCATTGAGAACAACACAATCAAGAACATATATATTCACGAAAATTATGCATTTTCGTAAGTTCAAGGTTTCTTGAGTTTAACCAAAAAAAAAAAAGGTTTCTTGAGCTTACTAAGCGTTTCCATATGGTAGAAACATAAAAATTCCAAAACTTGAAATTATAAACGGATAATAATCAAATTGCAAGCTTATTTTTAGATTCTGGATTGTGAACGAAACCATCGCACCTATCGGCCCATTTCCATGGATACACACCAGAGCTGTTAGTCTGTTACGTTGGATCACATCCGCATGAGTCTACTTAGACAATATGTGATCCACGTACATATGGTTGAATTCGACCACCAAATCAACACATGCATGTTTCTTCTTTTCTAGATTCGCTACTTTTTTCCTGACGACAGTAACAAAAGTAACGTTAAAAAAAAAGTAACGTAAAATTTCTCTAAAATCTTATACTTTTTTGATCACGTGAAATTATACCTTTTTCTACCTCCTGGGCCACATTTAGATCTACAAGTAATTTACTAAACCTAATGTGGAATGCGAGCTTAAGATTTTCATTAGAAAAAAAAAGTGGAGAGTACTCGTTCACCAATGTGTATTGTTTTTGTTAAACGAAAGACTCCATTTGAAAAGGACTTGATCATAATTTACTGTTTGAATGTGAAACACTGAATCTAATTGGTGACATACAATAAATAAAATTTACAACTTAATTTTAGCAAGAAAATTTGACAATGTGATAAATAATGACAACAATAAGAGATGGAAATACAACAAAAGAAAAGCGGTCTTCAAATTCCTTTATGATAAACGACATTGTAACAGAGACTAGTAAACTAGATTAAGAAATACATATAAGTAAAAAATTCACTAAAAATGTATACACTTGTTTTAGTAAACGACGAATTTAAACACTTGAATTTATTGTTTTTTGCTTGTCATCTTATTTTTTCGATGCGGTAAGCTACAATATTATGTTTTCTAGGCGGCATCGTACGAATCATTACCGCCACCATATACCGCTTTTCTTGCCGTTTTATCGGATTAGTTGCATCAAAGGTGTTACATGGACGGTTAGTTTATTACCGCAATGATTAAAAATCTACCAAATTTAAAGCAATGATTAAAAATTTCAATAAATTTCTCACACTAAATACATAATTAAAAAAAAATGGAAGAGAGAAGTTTTCTGATAAACTCTTCTTACACAAGTCTTTTTATGATTAATCTGAATCTTTCTATTAAATATTAATATAATTTATGTTAACATTTAAAATTATGTTGACAATTTAATTGAGAATCAGTTAAAAAAACACTACCTCTTAGTCAAATTCTGCCATGTCCACATATTGACAGGGTAAATGTGGTGTCAAGCTATTGATATCATTATTAGGCCACTAAACACTATTAACTTTTGAGATTCTCTTTAAATAAAGTCATAAAGTTATGCTAAGGGAAAGTATCAAAGTAAATAGAAATAGAGCTTTAGAGTTATATGTTAGTTGGCATTGCACTGAAGTTGAAGGCATCACGAGAGAGAGAGAGAGGGAGAGTGAGCTATGGAGAAACAGATTCCATCCAAAGGGATTCTCAAGAACGAGGCTCTTAAAAAGGTCGTTTAATTACTCTAATTTCTCATTAAGTTTGTTTTTGCTCGGATCCTTTGATCTGCAAAATATAACTTACTTTATTGTCCGATAGATCGAAGATGCTTTATCATTAATGATTTAAGATCTTCCGTAAATGCTATCGACACATGTATTATACGGTTGTGGTTATGAATCAAACGTTGTGATATGTGTGATACAGTACATCTTCGAAACGACGGCGTATCCAAGGGAGCATGAACAGCTCAAGAAATTACGAGAAGCTACTGTCCACAAGTATGGCAATTTGTAAGTCTGGCTACAACCTCCTGCCGTGTCCACCATTAGTTGACTTGAGCTAGTATTTTGCAAGAATTTATATAATCATATATTCTTGATCGTTTGTAACGTTTGAACACAAAAACAAACGTAAACAAACAATTAATACGTAAATACACGTTAATCGAATCAACTCAAGGATTATACTAACAACAACTAAATCATTTGTGTTGATATATGCGCAGAAGCGAGATGGAGGTCCCGGTTGATGAGGGGCTTTTCCTATCGATGCTTATAAAGATGATGAATGCCAAAAATACGCTAGAGCTTGGTGTTTTCACGGGCTATTCGCTGCTCACTACGGCCTTCGCATTGCCTGAGGATGGCCATGTATGTATATACAAACACTCCTCCTTGATTACTTATTCTAAAAAAATCAAATAAACAAAAATGAATAAGAGCTAACATCTACGAATATATATCTAGATTACTGCAATAGACATTGATAAAGAAGCATACGAGGTGGGTCTAGAGTTCATCAAGAACGCAGGCGTTGATCACAAAATCAATTTCATACAATCTGATGGTCTCCAGGCCTTAGACAAGATGTTGAGCGTACGTAATCCTTTTTTATAAATATCAGTCATGCTTTTGTTTTGTTATATTACTATTAGCAATTATTTTGCTCTCTATATTATATGTTGTTAGATATATTTTCTAGTTTAGCTTGCGGCTTCTTATAAGAAAATCTTAAGCACTCCCTTGAGGCCCTGATGATGATGTCAAAAATATAGTCGTTTTATGATGACATTGGCTAATGCATGATGGTGTGGCACAGGAGAATCCAAAACCGGAGTTTGATTTTGCATTTGTTGATGCTGATAAACCAAACTATGCCAACGTACACGAGAGACTACTGAAGCTGGTAAAGGTCGGTGGAATAATAGCGTTTGATAACACATTGTGGTTTGGGTTTGTGGCGGAGGAGGGAGAGGAAAACGTGCCAGAACACATGAGGGTGAACAGAAAAGCCCTCATGGACTTGAACAAGCGGCTCGCTTCTGATGCTAGAATAGAGCTATCTCAAGTCTCCATTGGTGATGGTGTTACTCTCTGCAGACGCCTTGTGTGATTAAGAGACTCATCAAAACACCAAGTGTTCTTAGTTTTTTATTTTATTTAATCAAGTTGTTAGAATCTATAATGCACTCTCTTCCTCTGTTTTTGCTCATTGCGTGTGTGCTTTCCCGGACGAGATTGGTTCGCGTTTGTAGGTGTTGTATTATGCTAAAGATTGTTGTTGTTCTTCTTCTTTAGCTTTTAAATACAAAATTTACCTGTGTGGCGAGATCGTGTTCTTTGGGAATTTGATTTGCAAGTTAAGGCCCTAGTTATTGTCAGTTATCATGAATTGCAAGTCGAACACAAGAATCTATAAGAAAAATTAAGAGACAGAAAGGAAAGCGATGCTGAGCTTCAATATGTAATAAAAAACATTTATATAAATCATATTCATATATCTGAAAACCCAACATTCAAACGAATAATCACACAAAGACTGAAGTAGAGTACTACAAACAAATAAGGAATCAGAGGTACACAAACTCTCTCTCTCTCTCTCTCTCTCTCTCTCTCTCTCTCTCTAGAGAAGCCAATACAAAGCTCTCTAACCTATACACCCAAACAAACTAACTTCCGAAGAAGAGACGAAAACGTTAGCCAAAATGTCAACATTTCCTCTCCTCCTCTCTTCTCTCCTCCCTCTAACCAGTTTAAACCCGATCTAGGTCACAAACTCTCTCAAACTCACTGGGTTATAGGTGTGAGGATGGGATTAGCAGCATGCTAAGTTATATGGTGATACAATCAATCACATGAGGTAAAAAAAAAAACACAAAGTAAAAGCATGATATAAGGTTAAACCGCTTAATAATATTATGGAAGCTACCCTCACTGGGTACTCTTCGTTAACCCACTTCGTCCAGCAGCTCTGCGCAAATCCAAATACCAAAGTCAGTTTGAATATTAAGCTGTGTATTAAAAAAATCTGACTTTGTAGAGAAAGCTCTGAAAACTGTATAGAAAGCTGTAAAACGATCATGATGATTCCCCATGAATTGCGCGATACAAAGTGAAAACTAGCTATATACCTTCCAGCAAGTATCTGGGCGGTGTTGGATGAGCTCTTGCTATTTGAAAACCTTTTGGCTCTGGTGTCCTGATCTTTCTCCACACGCATTGCAGCAACTTCTTTCTCCATGGCAGCTACTTCCCTTCTCATCTTCTTTGCTTCAACCTCCATTGCCTTTGTTAAAGTTTCCACCTTCTTCGCTAGCATCTGCAAAACCTCAAATTATCAGACTGCCTCCATTTACAACAGTGAACGGTTTCATATGTGCCGACAGAATCACATGCAGAAATTCTACCTCGATGGCATCATCCTTGTCTTTGAGGCTTTGGTCTTTCTCATGAGAGGCTTTTCTCAAAGAAACTACTTCTTTCTGTAATAAATCATACAAAACACCTGGGACACTGTCCTCGGTTTCTGCTGCAGGGTTTTCACTTTCTGGCTTCTCCTCCGAATTTTCTTTCCACCCATTAGCTGTCTCAGCTTCCTTAGAGTCATCAGACGCCTTGCTGAAAGAATAATTCCCAGGTCCGTTTAAGAGTGCTTTGCCCCTGTCCAAGGATCTTGTGCCTCCATCAAATGACTTAGATGTTCCTTTAGCATTCTTCAACACAGAAGTTGAATTAATAGACAAGGAATGTCTCATCTGAGAAGCTGGAGCTTTCTTTGAAAAAGAACCGTTTGATGGAAATTTTTGTAAGCTGTCAGCTCCACCAAGCGATTGCCTGCGAGAGGGTCCATTACTCATGCTCCTTGTCTCGGATGTGTTCCTGGTGCTGCTGTTTGAAGTTCCTCGAAGTGTCTCCTCAAGCACTTTAAGACGCAGTTGAAACTTTTCCTGGTAATTGCACAGACAAACATTTTACTTCTTGTCTTTTGCAGCAAAAAATCGAATGAGAGAAGCTGACTAATGCGTAAGATCCATTACTTTTAATTGTGCTTCAGATTTAGCAGCTCGATCTGTTATGGCAAGCTTATCGCGAAGTTGCTGCATTTCTCCCTGCAAAGAGTAGAGAATCAAGAACTGAGAATGTCGATATGACTGTGCCTTGATCACTGCAAAGAATTTGCATCCTAAGAATCTAGGAGAGGGGGCCATCATATCTAATCAAACCTGTAGAAACCTTCTTTCTTCAAGCCATTGCTTTACAGGCATCACTTTATCATTGCCATCTTTCCACTCATTTGCTACCACCGTAGCAACTCTGTTTGCTGTAACCTTTGCACGTGCAAGCTCCCGGTCAAGAGTTTTCCGTTCTTCCTGAAAGATGCAGCAAGAATAGAATTTCTTCATCAGTAGGCAATTCTCGTGGCAACAAACTACAGACTTATTGCTCTCTTTTTTTGGAAGGCTTGTGGAGTTTGTTTAGTTACATTCATCTCTTGAAATTTCCGCTGGTAATCCCTTACGGCATTTGCAGCAGCACCACCAGCAAGAACAGCCTCTTCCAGCTCCCGTACAGTCTGAGTGAGTTTTTCTACTTCAGCAACCTTCTGCCTATGCATTTTGTCTAGAATTTTGTTTTCTTCCTAATAACATAGAATAAACTTATTAAGATTTCTGGCAAACGACGTGCGATGGGTAGATTACACCACTAGCGTGTTTAGGTATTTACAAAGAATAAGATGATAACTACAGAACCTGACAGATTTCAATTTGTTTCATCAACTCCTGGTTCTTATTTTGAAGATCATCCACCATGGCTGCTTTTGCCAGGGCACCTTCAATGGTCCTCTCAGCATCAAGTAAGGCAGCTTCCTTTGATTTAGTCAGACGATCCAAAGCCCTGTTATCTTCTTGAAGCTTACCAATCTATGGAGAAACAAGGTAGTTGATCAATGACTTCATTAATTTTCAAAATCCCGATATGGAGGTAGAGAGATCAAGCAATTAGACTTAAAAAGGCAACCTCTGATCGAGCAAGCTTAAGTTCAGCTTCTAACGGAGCAAGGATGGCTTCAATTGGAGGCATGTCATCATCCTTTTGGGCAGCATGGACCCTTCTTAAGGTGGCTTCAGCAGCAAACTGAGCAGCCATTGAGGCTTTCTTCTCCTCATTGATTTTCTTGATTTCTAGATTCTGCAACACGGTTGATATCATATGTCTATTAGTATAAAAAAAAATGAAAGGTGAACATACTTGAGCAAAGGAAGGATCATCGAGTAATACTTTGCTTTCGAGAATGGATTCGGTCAACTTGAGCTTTTCATCCAACTTAGCAAGCTCCTCAGTAAGCTAAATTTCAAAAAAAAAAAAAACATAAGAGGAAAAGTCAATCCATGAGAAGCATGAAATCTCACTTGCAACTACTTAAAGACCAATAAAGAGAATGTACAAATCTCTGACGGTTGAAACATAAAAGTCAAGAACAAACACCATGATGTAATAATTGATCAAGACTAAGCAGCAGTAAAATCCTGAATGCTAGCACCCACTGGGGATAAATGCACCTGAACCATTCATGGCAGGTGAATTCTTGATTCTTCAACTTACAATAGTAAAACTTAGAATTCGTAATGAAAGAAAGAAATAAAGTGAAACACAACTCAGATGTGAAATATAGCAACCAAAAAAAAAAAACTTCCCTAAGAATTGCTAAATGTGAAATTGAAAAGAAAAAAAAAAGCTTGCAGAATTTCAAACGAACACAACACAAGACAAAAATAGAAAAATCAGAATACAAAGAAAAACAAACCTCTTCAACAGCTTTCTCTCTCTGCCTCTCAGAAAACCTGAGCGCTTTGATCTCAGCGTGTGCTTCCCCTAACTCTCGATCCTTATCTGCATCCCAATAGATTGTTCAGAACAATAGACTCAATCAAGCAAAAAAAATTGAAACCGAATCGACGCATAAACACAACTAGATCGAGCAAGCATTTTATCAAACCTCTAACTTCGTTCTCTAATCGATTAAGCTCCACTTTCACTGGATCCGAGCCATGGAGCAGAGTGATGAACTCATTATCAGCCGCAGCGTCGAAGCTCGGCCTAGTTGGCCTCCGCTTCGAAGAGCTTTTTCCTCCGCCGCTCTCCTTGTAAGACGCCGACACCGTAAGCGACGGATACGACGCCGCCGGTTGCGTAGCCTGCTCGGTTACCGTCGCCGACTCATCTCCGTCACCGGAAACATCCGACATCTCCGATCTGATTCCCTTTCACGGTCACTCCCAAAATCCCGCGGAATCCCAAAATGCTAGACAACAAAAAAAAAAAAGAGTATCAACACTGAGCTGAATAATGCAGATTTCGAGAAGAAGCTAAAAAGGAGTTATTGGGATCCAAATGCTCCCTGGTTTTCAGATTAGGAGTCACACGAGGAGAGAATGATGCTAACCTAGAGAGAGAGTAGAGAGAGTAGAGAGAGAGAGCTCTTTCGTTTTTTTTTTTTCTCTATTGAGAGAAGAGAATGAGATTAGAGAAAAGGAGAAAAGAGATTTAAATGCTGTTACAGTTGTTTCTCTCTCCCCCTCTCTCTCTCTATTAGATTGACAAGAAAGCGATAGGATGACGCAAGATTAATAATCCTTAATCTCTTCTTAATACACATAAGTTTGAACATGTTACTTTTCAGATTAATCAATAAACTAAAGTGAGATAATAGAGATTAGTACTATGTTTTCTACTGTTTTTATATAGTAGCTTACTGTTTCCAGATCTCCCTTAACATTATCTTTTACATTTATGGTGTTTAACTATAAATAAAAAACAAATAGTGTATATGGAATAAATAAAAATTTGGTAGAATGAAATTTTAGTTGAATTCATATTTGACAACGTTATCTAACTTTTTAATTTTAATTATTATATCTGAACATCAAAGAGATTGTTGGGAGGCTTAAATTGGCGGTTTTTGTTTGTTTAATTTATACAAAGTGTTTTACGTTCCATTAAGAGTAACCACAAATTCTCCTTTTTAGATTTCTATTTTGTTTGTAGTACATTCCTTTCTTCAAAAGATAATTTAGCGAAAAGAGAACACCTTTCAGTTTAATATTTATAAGCAAATTATGTGATATATGTATTTAACTTTTGCTAATAGGTGAATAGTTAGTTTTTATGATTAAAATATGTTGACGTGGTCAAAATATGTTTAATTGTCTGATTATTAGTAAGAAAAAGGTGTAATTAGTGAAGGTTAGATGCTTTGCGCGTGAAAAGAGGGAAAATGTTCGATGTCCCAAATATTTTGTTTCACTTTTTCCTTTTTCGAGGGATAATGCTTCTTCTCTTTTTTCTCAAGTAAGGTTAGTTGGTTCTATGTCTTTGTAAAAATCAATGGACCACGATAAGAAAAGTATATGAACTGTAAGAATCAACGGACCACGATAAGAAAAATCAATGAATCATATTCTTACATTTCTCATTATTCTCAAGTAAGGTTAGTTGGTTCTCTGTCTTTGTAAAAGTCAATGGACCACGATAAGAAAAGTATATGAACTGTAAGAATCAATGGAACACGATAAGAAAAATCAATGAATCATATTCTTAATTAGAGATCACTCAAGATTATAGCCGTAAGCTAGGAATAAATTTACGATAGTGTTCATAAATATTGATAAATGTAATAGGAACAGAGGCGTGTTGTTTGAGAATGAAACATTTGGTAGATGGTAAGACCCCCAAAAGTGTTCGTGTATAGCTAAATGCAAGTTAAGTAACTGTTATCCCCTTCGGGAAGAAAAGACGAATAAAATGCAGTTTTTAAAAAAATGCAAGTTAAGTAGATGGAGAGTTCAATACTTTACTTCTACTTTTTTCTGTTTATTATATCTCTTTATTCTATTCCATCATAGTATATTTTTCATTAGTATTTTTTCACACATAATTTAAACAAATGTTATCGTGATGTTATGTAAAATAATAAGTCATCGGATAAAATAACATGCTTTTTATTAGCAACATGCATAAAATTGTTGCTATATTCAAAGACATAAGCAATAGGTTACTCAGCTTATTTTACATGCTTTTTCATCGGTCGTTTTCACACAAAAAAAACAACATATGGTCATCTAGAACATATATTCTAGAAAATGCAAAAATTTTCCTTTTTGGTTAAGAAAAATGCCAGTATTTTCCATACATAATTTATCAATAAAACTACATATATTTTAAAGTAAATGATGGTAAGCAAATGTTTTTGAATGCTAACTCCAAAAAACGTATATTTTTATATGTTAGGAAGACAGCTTTATTTATTAATGGATACTATAACTGTTAAGATATATATATATATATATATATATATATATTAAGGTCCATATGTTACTGTTATATAAATTATACTAGGTCTTCTACCAAAAAAAAAAAAAATCATCATACATTTAACATGCATGTCTCTTTAACTTGATGGACTTTTTTTAACATTCACGGACTGAATCCAATTTCTTTTGGACCGAAAACACATATCCCTTACTTTGACCAATATATAAATTTTGATATCATTCTCACATCTGAGTTTTCATCTCAATGACGATGAGACGAATGACATATATATATAATACATTAGGCCACAAGAACTTCTTTTATACAGATTTCTAACACATAATCTTAAATTAGTTTCAAATGTTAAAAGAACAAAAAGGGATAAGTAAATACATCACAAATTTATGTAATAAGTACTATAAATGTAGCCTGGAGAGTTAATAAAAAGGAAAATCAAGCTGGCGTTGGTAAATACAATTATATAAACACAGGATAATGTCTGAACTCTGAAACCTTTCTTCAATTTTACAGGAAGAAAAAAATAATCATACCTTTGTCCTTTTTCCCAGAAGTAAGAAGTATAAACTAAGCAGACAATACTATTTGATATTCCTCAGTCGGAAATTCTGCAATCTTACTTAAACGATATTTAATTTAGTTAGTATTCCGTACTTACATGCTTGCTTCCACTGCTGCAACGTGACCTGTCGATTAAATATTGATATATTATTGTAGGTTTGAATTTTAAGAGTACCAAACACAACGGATTAAACTCAATTGACTTTCCCAAAGATATAGCGGTCAAATACCAATACATTGGGTCCAAAACTCAGAATAACGTAATAAATTTTTAAAAATATATTGTGAATTTGTTTCGGGCGATTTTTTTACTACCAAACCTACTGTAATACATTATAGATGGACAACTCTTCGTCGGAAACACCTAGAAAAAATTGACAAAATATTCAAATATTCATGCTAACAACATGTAGCGAAGTCAAAACAACCTAATTCGCCGGCGAACACATGTACTTTGAGATGGTACAAACTAAAAAGGTAATAAAAATGGTAATATACTACATTGTGAAAACTTAGAAACTTTATTAATCACTGGAATGTATATATAGAGTACATAGGGAATCTAGGTTAAGTATAATGCCCTGATGGGTCTAATGGGCCGGTATAAGAGTCCATATATGATATGTGTTATAACACTCCCCCTTGGACGAGTAAACCGGGTCAGCTACTCAATCGGGATCTCAATAATGCGCTGGGGAATGTTGCCTCATTAAAACCTTACCAGGAAAAACCCAGTGGGACAAAACCATGGTGAAGGAAAAAGAGTACAACACGCATTACTCCCCCTGATTGTAGCATCACTGCAGATCTCTAAGTCTATACATTCCTATCTGTTTGACGAGCTTCCGGTGTGTTGAAGTAGGCAATGATTTGGTGAAGAGGTCAGCTGAATTCTCACTGGATCAGACCTGCTGAACGCTGAGAGTGCCGTCCTTCTGCCAGTCTGAGGTTGAGAAGAACTTCAGTAGAATGTGCTTCGTCCGATCTCCTTTGATATATCCTTCCTTGAGCTGAGCTATGCATGCCGCGTTGTCTTCATACATCACCGTGGGCTGTGTGTCTTCGTCCATACCACAATCTCTGCGGATGTGCTGAGTCATGGAGCGCAGCCAGACGCATTCCCTACTAGCCTCATGAATGGCTAGGATTTCAGCATGGTTTGATGAAGTGGCAGTGAGTGTCTGCTTCATTGATCTCCAAGAGATGGCTGTTCCTCCATGCGTAAAAACGTAGCCAGTTTGAAACTTGGCAGTGTGCGGATCTGATAGATATCCTGCATCGGCGAAGCCGACTAACCCATCTTTATTTTGGTTAGTATAGAAGAGTCCTAAGTCTTGAGTACCTCGAAGGTATCTTAGGAGATGTTTTATACCGTTCTAGTGCCTCTGAGTTGGAGATGAACTATATCGAGCGAGGAGGTTCACGGCGAAACATATGTCTGGTCTAGTGTGACTAGCCAGGTACATTAACGCTCCTACAGCACTGAGGTATGGCTTTTCAGGACCAAGGATTTCTTCATCATCCTTTTTGGGACCAAGAGGGTCATCACTTAAGCTTCTAACTACCATTGGGCTGGTCAATGGGTGAGCTTGGTCCATATTAAATCGCTTGAGTACTTTTTCGATATAAGCCGATTGATGCACAAGGATTCCTCCTTTGATGTACTCAAGTTGTAATCCCAAACAGTACTTTGTTTTGCCTAGGTCTTTCATTTCGAATTCTGCTTTTAAGCAGTCGACTGTTTGGGAGATCTCACCAGATGTTCCGAGGATGTTTAGATCATCCACGTATACTGCTATGATTACAAATCCTTTGTTTGAGTACTTATTGATGAAGATGCATGGACTGATGGGGTCATTTTTGTAGCCTTCTTTGATGAGGTAATCGCTGAGGCGGTTGTACCACATACGCCCACTTTGTTTCAGTCCATACAAGGATTTGTTCAGCCTGATGCAGTATTGATCTCGAGATGCATTTTTGTCTTTTAGTTCAATGCCATCTGGGAGTCTCATATATATTTCGTTGTCCAGGGGCCTATAGAGATATGCGGTTACAACATCCATTAACCGCAGATCAAGATTTTCTCTTATGGCCAGACTTATGAGGAATCGGAATGTTGTTGCATCCACCACTGGAGAATAAGTCTCCTCATAATCGATTCCGGGTCTCTGTGAGAATCCTTGTGCTACAAGCCGTGCTTTGTATCGAACGACTTCACCGAGTTCGTTCCTTTTGCGCACAAAGACCCATTTGTGGCCCACTGGCTTGATGTGTGATGGGGTCCTGATGATCGGACCGAACACGTTTCTGAGTTTGAGACTCTTTAACTCCACGTTTATGGCTTCTTTCCATTTTAGCCAATCTGTTCGATGTGTACACTGTGTTATTGACGTGGGTTCTAGATCCTCTTGCGTGAGCGCAACATCAAGTGCTACTTTGTATGCAAAGAGTGCATTTAAGTCGACTTCTTTTCGATTCCATTGTATTCCGGACATATTGTAATTGATGGAGATCTCATTGTTATCTTCTGAACCTGGAGATTCGGCATCCCGAACTTCCATTGAGGGTTCATTAGATTGAGTCTCAGCCGCGGCTATGTCTGATATT